TAAAAAGGATTCACGTCGTTGCTGTAACAACTATCGTGGGATAAGTCTACTTCCGATTGCGTCCAAGCTATTGGCTCCCGTCATACTTCGTAGGTTGTTCAAAACCCGAGAAAGATTGACTCGCGAGGAGCAGGGTGGGTTTCGTTCTGGTCGAGGATGTATTGATCATATCTTCACCCTCCGCCAAATGTTAGAACACCGCTATACCTATCAAAGGCCAACAATCGTAGTGTTTTTTGACATTAGGGCTGCCTTCGATTCGTTGGACAGGACTGTTCTCTGGGATTGTCTATTGAAGAAGGGTGTGCCTAAGAAGTTTATTAACATCCTAAAAGCCCTATATAAAAACACCTCAAACAGAGTGAGGGCATACAACCACCTTTCTCCATTGTTCCATTCGAGCAGTGGGGTTAGGCAGGGTTGCCCAATCTCACCATTCCTCTTCAACTTTACCATCGATGACATTCTGGAAACAGCTCTGATGAATGTAAGTAATGGTGATGTGGATCTGTTGCCTGGAGAAAGACTTCTCGACCTTGAGTATGCGGACGATATTGTCTTACTGTGCGATAATACCCAAGGCATGCAATCCGCACTTAATCAGTTGGCAATCAATGTCCGTAGGTATGGTATGTGCTTTGCACCTTCGAAGTGCAAAGTACTTCTACAAGACTGGCAGGATTCTAATCCTGTACTCACCCTGGATGGTGAGCAGATAGACGTAGTCGAGAAGTTCGTGTATCTGGGTAGCTGCATAAGTGCTGGTGGGGGTGTGAGTGATGAGATCAATGCACGAATAGTGAAAGCCAGAGCGGCTTATGCCAATCTGGGCCATCTATGGCGCCTTCGTGATGTTAGTCTGGCTGTAAAAGGCCGGATCTACAACGCGTCGGTGAGAGCAGTTTTGCTCTATGCTTGTGAAACCTGGCCTCTCCGAGTTGAGGACGTTAGACGACTCTCTGTGTTCGATCATCGCTGTCTCCGAAGGATTGCTGACATTCAGTGGCAACACCATGTCAGTAATGCAGAGGTTCGGCATCGTGTGTTCGGGCACAGAGATGATAACTCAATTGGTGTCACCATCTTGAAACACCGACTTCGGTGGCTTGGACATGTTCTCCGAATGTCGTCCCAGAGAATTCCACGTCGTGCATTATTTGCCGACTCTGGGACTGGTTGGAAGAAGCGGAGAGGTGGTCAGTGCATGACATGGTGTCGTGGCATGAAAGAAAGCTGTAAATTACTGGCTTGTGTTGATCCTTCACGACTCCCTGGTTGAGGTCTGAGAGATGGTGCTACACAGTGGCTAGAGACGTTATCAGATATGGCTCAGAATAGAAGCCAGTGGCGATCCTGCTGTAACCTTCTTTTACTTTCTTCATAAAAAGTGGTTGTGTCTCCTTTACCTGAAAGATTTCTTCTGATTGTACCTCTTCGTCATTACTCTCTTTTTCTTTTGCGTTCCTTAGTTTTTTTTTCTTTCTACTTCTCTTCGAATTCCCATTGTTTTGTGTGGCGCATATATATTGGCGCTCTCTTGTACCAATATTTATGTGTTCAAATAAATAAATAAATAACCATGTGGAACAGACTGCCAGTGAACCTCTGTTGCAGTGGAACTACAACCCGGTTCAAAAGTCTCCTTGATGATTTTCTTTCCGAAAGTGGATTATTTCACTTATTGAATATCAATGTATTCAATAATGATTTATACGGGCATGGTCCGTCATCCATTTAATTGCCTGAAAAGCAAAATAAAACCTTTAAATCTTTTCACGTTTATTTTATTTCTATTCATCTTGATATATGAAGTTTGCTTATGTTCGTGTTTATCATTATTACCGTTATTAATATCATTATTAGTTCCCTGACACATTAGATATTCTTTTTATCCTTCTAAACATACTTAACTCCAGAATGTACTTTGAAATCAATTTCGACTTTCATAGCATCATTCTTAATTATTATTGCACAAATATTTATACTAATATCCGGTTTCACTCTGTATACTATTACATAAATCTAAATGTATTCATCCAAGTGCATTAAAGGATATTTATTTTATTTCTCTCAATTGTTGGTTTCCTTCTGAGGTTGATATTCATTACACAATTATTATTCTTATCATGGATGAAACTTTTCACTAGGTGTTCACTTCTTTTCTCTCTTCTTTCTCTTCTATATAAATATTATTATGAAGATTATGGAGTTTGTAATGAAGACAATAACTTGTGTTACACTTAAATTAACTTCTCAAACCCGTTTTATCTTCACTATGCCTATATGACTACTCATACATATTGATATTTCATTATCCTTTACACTCAATTGAGACTTTTATCGCATCACTCTAAGCTATGTGACTGCACAAACATTTATTCTAGCGTCATATCTGACTACAATAATAAGCTGGTTTTTCTTAATTATTTTTTGTTACTAATTTGACGATACACACATAGTCGTTTATTCTTGTTCTATGTTCATAAACACGCGTATTAGACTGTTTGCGTATTTCACGTCTCCTTTATTTCTATTCCCTTATTTTCTCCATCTCCTTCTTTAAACTCAATTCAATATTCTTCTCAATTACACAGACCCGATTTATTATTATTAATATTCTACTATTATTACTCTAAATTTTTTTAAAATATGGCAAGTATAAGGCTAACATTATTGAAAATTGTGTATTATTGCATTGTTTGAAGAAACCCGAAATGGTTTCCTCACAACACTTATGTACCCATAAGATGTTTGTGAATAATAATAATAATAATAATAATAATAATAATAATAATAATAATAATAATAGTGGTCTTGCATCTATGGGGCCTATTACCCATCAGTTGGTTAGGACAACACAGAATAACATCAGCACCAAGTTAATGTGAGTTTCTTCCTGTTTATTCTTTATTAACTTTTTACTCTTCTGTACACTATGTTGAATAGCAATTAATATTATTTGTCCACTCGTTAACTTATCTACAACTCATATACTTCTATACTTTTACGCCTGCTTTAATAAACAACTATCCTACATTATACCCTTTTTAATGCTTATACTCGAATTGGCATACTATACTTTATACTATAGTCAATTAAAGCACTGCATCGATGCCTTTTCCACAGTGCATAACTTGTAAGTGCCTGATAAGTTTGTAAAATGGTACTTATGGAAATAGTGTTTCCCAACAGTTTGTGAAACACAGAGGATTGTGTGAGGTATGACGTATATCCAAAAATAAGCTTAAATGAGCCTAACACCACAAATGAAGGGAAGGTGAAGTTACTGACCAGCAAGCATTGATGGTGAGGGCGATGACTTCAATCCACCCATGTTTGTGAGGCAGAAAATTTTGTATGTATCAGGCTCTTTATGATTGAGAAGAAGTCAATCAAACAGTGATATTGAGGTTATTCTTCTACGCTCACCATTTAGAATCATTTTTCCAACGTTATGCTGGACTAGTTATTCTACTAAGACAACCTATAACATGCTAACTCGAACTTTTACACTAGGATTGTGTGGCTGACATCGGATGAACTAAAAAAGAAAAGAAAGAAAAAATTAGAAAACAAAAGATATAGTTGTTAGAATTCTTAGCACTTCACCCTCTATATGCATACTTCCTTCTAATGAACCGCTTTCTTTGTACCAATCTTGACTTGCTTTCCTTTATGTGAGCTTACTTCAACTTGTTAAACATCACAACTCATTGTTCTTTATTAATACATTCCCTTATATGGAGCCTCTCACTTCATTTCACTCTAACAAGAGATAATATGAATTTAATCTAATGTATTATACCTCTGTCTGTCTGGCGGCGGCTGTAGAGAACGCAATACAGCTCTACAGACTAATAAAAGAAACTAGAATCAGTAAGTCAAGTGTAAGTCAGACTATTTCGGAAAAAGACGACACTCATCTCCTCCCAGTCCAGACATTTAGAACGATGGCCGGAACATTTCAGAGCACAGTTCAGCTGGCCTTCAGCTACTCTACAACTACCCTCCATTCCCAGACAGTGTGAATGGAACATTGAAGTAGGTCCCCCAACTCTAGCAGAAGTTCAAAAGGTTATAGTTAATCTGAAACGAGGAAGGGCAGCTGATCCAGATGGATTGGCTCCAGGTCTTTAAGGATGGTGGTTCAATTTTGGCGATTAGGTTGACTAATATTTTAGCTAAGATCTGGGAGTTAGACGTTGTTCCATCTGACTGGTCACAATCAGTGCTTAAAGTCACTAACTTCTAGTCTGAGCCACGTTGGTAGATGCAGACTACTTGGTTGGGGTCCGCATGACTATCGTAACCAATTATTGGAGACTCTCGGTGACATGGCTCAGAATCGATCACAATGGCGTCGGTGTATACACTCTCCGTCTTCCCTTAAACTAAGAGATTAAAAGCGCTTCATATCTTTCTTTCTACGAACTAATTCTTTCTTCCGGTACTATATTCTTATTGCAATCTTTATTTTATACAACATTGAAGTAACTAGTTCTATGAATCCGGTGTTCATCTTGTTGTGTTAATGAGGTATGGCAACTTGGATCGATGCAAATATGTGCCTGGTCCTACGTTGTAGCTGACTAACTGACTTACAGTTGAATCATGCTTGCGTATTGGTGAGGAATCCGTTACAGTTACAAGACAGCTGCACAATTACCACTAGTTTTCAAGTTTCAAGCAACTATGGAACTCCTTTACTCATTCAAATGGTAAACAGATAGTAGTTAGAATTTCGAGATAAAACCGACAATTGTTACAATTCCGTGGAAATCACTTGCATACGCCGGTGTTACATCAAAATTTCGTGGGACTAACTGCTAATTGTTCTTTATAAACATTTCAAACCAAGACAAATAATCTTGATGATGGCACTTCTTAAAACAAGTAAGTTTAGGACTACCAATATCAATCTGAAATTCTATAAGCAATATGTCCTAAAAATATAGATTGCAAACAGTAAGCTCTTTATTAGAAATTCTTATGAAGAAACTGTCAAATTATTAGGATATTTATTTATATACATAATAATTATGTACAAACACAAAATGCCATTTAAGCAATAATAATCACAAAACTCAAAACGATTCTGCTTCACGCATATCTGAAACAAGTTTTGTAACAATAGCTTTAAGATTAGAGTCAAATTTATCGTCAGCAACCATTTCATTAATCAAATGTTTACGCATAAATATTCGACAATTTCGACAAAGTCTTGTATACGCTGATAACTGCAATAATTTAGCTAAAACATTTTGATATTCGCCAGTGCATAATTCCATAATTGTATATTGTAAGAAAGCAATATTTCCTTCACTGGTGTCTCCAAAATTGTAATTCTGATGGAAAATAAGAAAAAAACGTATTTCAATAATGATTGGAAGAAAATAGGACAGACTTAGTGTAAATCAACTTTATGGTTACAAACTCATACTTTTATGTTGAGAGTCTGACGAAATCTCTGCACAGATTCGAAAAGCTTGTTTAGCTTTTGCCAACATACGTCACCTATGACGAAGGAGATATATCCGTCTATCAATTAAGAGACAGAGTACACTGCGCAGCAGTTCGTTCTAATTTACGGCTGCGAAGACACTCGTAGGCTACTAGTATTTGGTTGCAGATACCTTGGAAATATTGCTCGCATCCGCTGAGTTTATCGGGTAAGTAATAGTGAGGTTAGACGCAAGAAAATAGGGAATGATGGTAAATCAGTTTATGAGGTTGTGAATCTTCATCGACTGAGATGTCTGAATGGCGTGCTATGTATGCCTAAACACCGATTACAAAGACACGCAATGCTGACTAGTGTTGGGGCTGGTTGGAAGAAAGTTAGGGACGGCCAAACCAAAACGTGGCATCAGTCCACAGTGTCACTAACTTCTGGTATGAGCCATGTTGGTAGATGCAGACTAGTTGGTTGGGGTCCGCGTGACTATCGTAACCAATGGTTGGGGACTGTGTGTTACATGACTCAGAATCGAACACAATGGCGTCGGTGTATACACTATCTGTCTTCCCTTAAACCATGAGATTAAAATCGCTTCATATCTTTCTTTCTACGAACTAATTCTTTCTTCCCGTATTGTGTCCTTATATGCAATCGGTCTTTTATATATAACTTATATGAATCTGGTGTTCGTCTTGTTGTGCTAATGAGGTGTGACAACTTGGACTGATGCATATATATATATCTGGTCTTACGTAATAAAGAACTTATTAGCAATATATATCCATAACCCTGCCAGTAACGAATATCGTACAGATCCCTAACAAGTACTTGGATACTACTATTGACCGAATTCTATCGATCAAATTTTCAATATGACTTGATACAGTTGATACCTAACAGTTAGATAAAATGATAATAATTATTATTAGTAATTAAACAAAACATTCAAGCGAAATACTCTAATCAATCTGCACATTTGCTAGTCAAAATCATCAAAATAATATAAAATTCATATATAGGCCGCATTGTTTTCATATACTAGGACGAATTAAACAAAAACTAAGATCCATAATACTATAACATACTGAAAAGAGTTAGTTTCATGTATTGTGCTGCTTTGGTCTGGGCACCCAGACAGTATCACAGCCCACACACAAACAGAATGAATGAAAAAAACACCACCACCGCCAACAACAACAACAAAATAAACTATAAAAAGAAAACAATAAACATTATCTACCTTTAGTACGGTTAATGGAAAATTATAAACAAGACAAAGTAAACCTAAAGCTTGACCAGCATTAGATTTAGCTTTAACTGTTAAATTAGTATTATTTAATATATCCCAAAATCCACACTTGATCATCATCTAAAATAAAAATTTTAAAAGAAAAAACAATAAATTAAATACCCTGAATAGTAATTACTAGAAAGTTTCTCTTTTAATTTATCTACAAAGACTTTAAAAGATGGGTAGCAGTATACCGCTGTTGTGTGTATGCTACTCATATCGACAGCTATAAGTAGTATGTATTATCAATCGAAAGCGAATTGTCTAGCGGTAGAAGGTTAAGAAGATCAAAGAAAAAAGAACTTGAACAAATGACAATTGGTATTTATTTATTTTAACACATAGATATTGGTACAAGGAGGCACCAAATACATATGCGCCACACAAATCTCATTTGATATGTGTGAGGGCTGTGATACTGTCCGGGTGACCAAACCGAAGCAGGGATAATTGGTATAGAAACGAAAAAAACCAATAAATTTTGAGACGATTGATTGTACGATTCTTAGATTTTATGAATATATTATGTCATTTTGTATTCAAATACATTCGATTTTCCCAACTTGTTTTCTCGTTCACTACACCACTAGACCTTATAAAATCACTATAATTCAAAGTAAAGTATATGGATCTGTGTACAGCCAAGATCTTCAACATAAACGTCAAAATAGTTCTACTGTATGGACCTGAAACTTGGAGAACAACCACAACCATAATCAAGAATGTACAAGTATTTATAAATAACTGTCTACACAAGACAGTTCAGAACCGTTAGCTGGACATCATCAGCAACAACCTGCTGTGACAAAGAACAAACCCGATTCCAGCTGAAGAGGAAATTAGGAAAAGATGATGTAGGTGGATAGGATGTACACTATGAGAATCATCAAGCTGCATCAAAAGGCGAGCCTTGACTTGGAACCCTGAAGGGTAAAGAAGAAGAGGTATACTAAATAACATTGAGCTGGAAACTGGAGGCAAAACATCAAAAAAATTAATAGCACTTGGAAACAACTGGAAAGTAGGATACAGCAGAGAGTTAGTTGGAGAATCCTAGTCGGTGCCCTATGTTCCATGAAGGGTGACAAGCTTAAGTAAGTGTATTGATAATAAACTGTATAATAATAATTATTATTATTGGTATAACACCATCGAAAAGCATAACGCAGATAACATCCAGGCTTGTCCTCCAACATTTGCTACTATATATGTGTATATACATGATATAATAAATTAGGCAGTAAAGGAACTTATCAATTAGGAACAATTTAATCAATCATAATGAAATGATAAAAACGACAAAACTTATCCCCTTACTTACCAAAAATCGTCGATGACAATTTAGAATACCACCTAATACACGTGGATAAAAACGATTGAAAGGCATTTCAGACATAACACAGTGTAATAAAATATGAATCATTTCCCTTTCTCTACCGGCTATACTGCCTGCTACAAGTTGAACACCTGGTGAATTAGCGGAAGTGTGACAAGATTTGAGTAAAGCTGAAGCTGTAGCATCTGGACCACCAGGAGTAGAAACTAAAATACTAAATGTTAATTGACGAGAAGTTGTACGTAGGCCAAGTTTTTCTGCAACGGCTACCATCTAAAATCCAAGTAAATTTGTGTGAAAAATTCAATAGGGTTTTGTAAAGGTCTATTGGTGGCGGATGAGGCAATAGAATTGCTAAATATTAGCAAATTAAATTAATCATACTAAATATAAATCTACAAAGGAGTTGAAGTGGGATTCTTAATGATGAAAGCACCCAGATTTTAGCTACTAGATTACGAGTTCAGATCACGTTTTATTTAATTTTTTTGTAAAACTATGTAGTATCACTAGACTTCAAACGAATAGTCCAGTCCAAAGGTGAGTACATAAAGCTGTACTTGATAAATGAATGACCTTACATCCATTGTAAATCTTGATTACTGATTTAACAAGACAATGTTAAATGAAGAAGTAAATGAAATTCAAGATAACAGATTCATGTACTAACACCTTAGTAAATGTGCTATATCCCGATAAGAATTATGAATGGTAACTTTTAGGATCCGTTTATGGACCAATAATATGCGTATATTTTTATCGTATAACTGTTAAATAACTAAACTATTCATATTCATGTCCCTCTTATTATAAACTTCCATTTGATCCATAGACTATTATTATACGATTCACCATTCTTGAGTTATGCCCAGTCTATTAATTACTATCCCCCACATTCACAGTCACATTTGGCCAAATCTTGTACAAATGTTGTTTCCTATTTTATGGTACGATGTGGTCTGTTTGATTTGTATATAAACCCGGTATGCTTGAAATACATGATTCATATCACAGAGGTTGAGATTGGTATTCTGGACTTAACAGGCAAGCAGGTCTAAGCAGGAATAAGGACCGATAAAGACTCTAGACTACTCATACTTGTTTTATGCATCATTGGTTCGATCGATAAATTACTGTTTTCTAGTTGGAGGCATCATCACGTTATACGTTATCAGGGCACTCAGGCCACAAGTTATAACAAAATGTTTTAATCCAACCCTAAACATCGAGGAAAAAACAGAAAACATAAGTTTTGTCCCCTCTTCTATAGGTATGAAATATACAAATAGTTCTTCAAAAGAATTTGAAATATCTTTGAGAATAACCTATCAAAGGTACTAGATCACACAAGCAATTGAAAATCTAAAAAATCAAAGTGTTTTAGCCTATTACTTGTACAGATTTCAGGAATTATTGCATTTCCCAACATATACTATCATCGAGAAACCAAGAAAATATTAACCTTATTGATTGGTAAATATAAAGATAAAAATCAGCAAAAAAATTTAACACTCATACTTCAGGATTTAAAGATGGTTTAGATTTTTCATCATCTTTGGATTTTACAGATGAAATATCATTCACTAATCGATTTACTGCTGAACCAATTAACCACCAACGACCAGTAGATGAAGCATTTAGTAAATCTTCTAATCCAACAGTTAAACACATATCATCAGTAACAGACAATCCTATGAAATGTAAAGATATAAAAATTGATATATAATTTCTTTTCACTGTGGTTTTGAGAAAGAAATGCAATAACAAACAAAATGACTAAAGGAAAATATTGAACGCTTCAACATTGTTCAAGCACTATACCCACAATATTCTTAACTCAGAACCTAACTATCAAGAAAAAAAAAACTTGTCAGTATAGGATTGTGGAGATTATTAAGTTTTTGATTGAGATTGTGAACCGATCAACGTTAGACCACCATTGAAAACCTGGAAGCACTGGACGGCCGTTTCGTTCTATTATTGGACTCCTCAGTAGTGCTCACTAGTGACTAGCTTTGTGAGGGAATTCTCGGAGTTCTAGTGTGGATCCGTGACCGGCGGAGCCAATCCGTATCAGGTAGATTCAGGTATCTACCTCATTATAATGGAAGATGGTCACACAATTTTGTGGATTGGTTGAGGTTAGACATTAACACCGATGGATACTGACTCAAAGGTCCAGAGGTTAAGCGTTCGCGAGAGGGACTGAGGGCCGTCGTTTCGAATCCTGAGAGTGGGGTCGTAGATTCTCACGATAAGACGAAACGGCCGTCCAGTGCTTCCACACTTTCAATGGTGGTCCAACATCAATCGGTTCATGATCTCAATAAAAAAACTTGGCCTCTAAATTATGTAAATGTTATATCCTAATGAAGAATAAATGAATGGTAAGTGGTAGGAATTATTTACGGACTATTATTACATGTATTCTTATTGGATAACAATTAAGTAACTATATTATATGTATATTCATATTCCTTTTGTTTTATGCTTCCATTTGACATATGGACTATTATTATACAATTTATTACTCTTAAGTTATTTCAAATTTGTTAGTTACAGTATGCCATAATCACAGCTACTTTCAACTTGATCTTATCTAACTGTCATTTTTTTAAATCTTATGCTGTGATGCGGTCTGATTTGCTTGTATACAAATTGCGTACGTTTGAAATACATGATTTATACAACGGAAGTTGGAATTGTGTTCTGGACTCAAATCGACAGGGCTAGGTGACAAGAAAAATTAAGAACTCAGAGTTGACTTTAGGTTGTCCGTACTGGTTAACGCGTCACTAGTTTGATATAGTGCCAACGTTGTATAAGTCGGTGTTCTGATTGACGATCTTATCACGTGATAATTAACGTGGCATAAGAACACAACAATATATATGTGTATAACACACGGAAAAATAGGATTTTTAATCATAGTCGTGTTCACACAGTCATAACTTCAGATAGATTTGTTACTGACTAAATTTCAAAAACTGAATGAATAATTAATTTTAATGGTCGAATTCATGAGTCGATGTAAGCCAGACCACCATTAAAAACCTGGCAGCACTGAATGGCCGTTTCGTCCTAGCATCCAACTCCTCAACAGTACGCGTTCACGATTCCGCTCGCGGGATTCAAACTCAGGACATTCGGCCTCACATGCGAACGGTTAAACTCTAGACCATCGAAACGGTATCCAACAGTGTTAATGTCTAACTTCCACCGATCCATGATATTGCGCAACCCTTCATCCAATATCTGAAGTGGAATGCTTTATCCACCCGTTACTGATTGGACTCCATTGGATATCCATCTAGATTCATCGAGGAAAATCCGAAGTCAAAACGACAATATGAAAAAGAATCGGTGGCAGCTAAAAAGACCCTCTTTATGAGGGTCAAATTATCTTTTACAAATATTTATTATTCACTATTAAAACTTTTAATTGTTTTGTTTCTAATATCTATGAAGTGGTCAGTTATCTGCACAGTAGCATATATCATTAGCCGTTCGGTTGTTACATAACTTTCCTCCCAAAATATGATTTTCATAAAGAATCTATGACACAATACCACTCCAAGTTTTAGTGATCCAACATTATTCTATTTTAACGTAGATTACTATTTTCAGAAAATAAATTACGATTGTACAGCTTAAATAAATGAAATCATTGAAAAGAAAATGTTCTCCACTGAATTCCATCTATTCTACTTCAACGTTACCTTTATCGCATCTTAACAACGATGATTGGTTGTTTACTTAGCCAGAATTGCAAATAGTCTGACAGGTAGTAGATGAGTTATATATTCTCTTACCCTTATTATTACTGTGATTGTTGTCGGGTTTTTTTGGGTGTGGAAATATACTTACGTTCTAGTCAGACTAGTCACGTGTTCTTGATCTGGATTGTGTTGACATTCCGTGAGACAGACACTAAGACGGCATCTACTAAAGATATTCATCCAAGGCAAATTAGTGTCATATTCGTGTAAACAAGGAAAACGATCGTTATATAAAATCAAGTATAAGTTTGTACACCGCTCTATTCTGTTTCACTATTTTAGTATAAGATCTAGTGAAACACTATCCGTTTTGGTCTACACTTAATTTGACGTCGAGATGTTAAAGATTTATCTGTTTTGTCTAGAATGTTTATGAATACGGGATTCAAATCTTAATCCTTAAGCAACGAATATGCATAAGATTTCACCATTGATCTATTTGTTTCTACAATTAATTCATATAATGAGAATAATTAGGTAAATGATTTGAAAATGCTATAACACATAGAAATATACATGAAATACACACATACACACACACAAAGACGAACATGTGAGTTACCTTTAGTCCATACCCTTATAAGTTTCTGTAAATGTAATGATCGTGTAACACACTCCTCCATAGAACGTTTCTCTGAAAGACGTTGAATCAGTCCCTCCAATTCAAATCTGGATAAGATGAGAAAAAAAACAAGGGAGATTATATGATTTCTGATTTCGGATAAAATATACGAGAGAAAGAGGGAATTACTACATGACGTACGCTATTTCAAAGTTTTGTAATTTATGCTTTTCAAGTTCAAAATTTGCTTGTTGAATAATTTCTTGGCATACATTCAAATTAGATTTTCGTAGATTAACACCAACCGCTAAAAATAAAATAATGATAATACATAGAAATATTATAATCAAGTGTACAAAACGTTGTTACAAGCATATTTACATTGATTAATCAGTGAGTAGTAAACAATGTTATGTTTATTTGACCAATATAGTAAATTGAATACTATTGATCAAATTATATAACCACTAGTCTAAGTAACTCGATGATAATTACAATACATTGAAACGTTAGATAGTTGAAGGTAATCAGTGGAAAATCCTGGACCTAGATTTTGTGTCAGTTGAACTTCATCAGTAAAGTGTATCTACAATCTTGAGGAAACTGATGGTTCCCATTGGGTTTGAACCTGTTCCACTTAGTGTCACAACGAGATGTTATCAATGGATCATTCTGGACATGTGGAATATTAGTTTCCTCAAGATACGCTTTGTTGGTTTGTGTTAAATAGTATGAAACTTAGGTTCATAGGTGTTTTTTTCAAACATCTTCGATGACCTAACATAGTAAGATTAACATAAAACGGCTTCAACTTAGTTTTGTTATTTTGTTTCATCAGTTCACAATGTTGGTTATTATTTTAAACGATTAGATGACTTGATGGTTTTACACAGAAAGTATTTTTTGTTGGGTTCTAGGCTAACAATTATACTTATTCAATTAAACACAATATGATTATTAATGTGCCAATTGATATTCAAAGAGCAGGGAAAATCTTATGTATGTACACTTTAAATGATATACAACACATCATGCTGAATGCAAAGAAAAGATAGGTCTTTGAGCAAGAACTAATCCTTAATCCTTGAACCATGTACCAAGTACAGGTAGGTATATTTGGGATTTTTATATACAGTGAGTGAGATTAAGTGGTAATACATTCCTGCCCAAACCGAGGCAGAGGAGCTTAGGTTTAAACTCGAGATACTATGATTGAAAGTTAGTTGCTCCAAATAGTGATAAATAAATACTTTATCCTTGATCTCTTAACGGATTACTTGTTTTAATGGTTCTTTATAAAAACACAAACCACATCTAATAAATACCATTAGTATTTGGAAAGCATGTAAAGTTTTGTATACGAGACTATGGTTTACATCAGTCTTTTGCAAATTAACCATGCTATCTAACATATTAAGACTGAATAAGCTCTATATTATGGTGACCGCTAACTGCATAAATCAACTTACCGATTGTAATAAAATGAGCAGCTTTCACTTTTCCGATGTCGCAATCACGTATATACGCCTTCAAAATATCTAAAATAAGAGTACCTGAGATCACCTGAAAATATCATTGACAAACGAAAACAAGTTAAAGTTTGTGAAAATTGTCTAAAACTGTTATTAGATGAAAAGCTTATTGAAAAATGTTATATCCCAATGGGAATAATGAATCGTAACTGTTGGAATCTATTTCTGGACTAATATTATACGTATATTTTTATCATATAATTGTTAAGTAGCTAAACTATGCATATTCATATTCCTTTTATTGTAAGCCTTATTTTGACCTATAGGCTTTTACTATTATGAGATTTACAATTCTTGAGTTATGCCCAGTCTATAAATTACTATCTCTCACATTCACAGTCACATTTGGCCAAATCTTGTACAAATGGAGTTTCCTATTTTATGGTACGATGTGGTCTGTTTGGTTTGTATATAAACCCAGTATGTCTGAAATACATGATTCATATCACAGAGGTTGAGATTGGTATTCTTGATTTAATAGGAAACAGAACCTGTAAAGACTCCAAACTGCTCGTACGTGTTTATGCATCATTGGTTCGATCGATAAATTACTGTTCTGTAATTGGCGATATCATTACGTTATACATTAATAGGGGCACAAACCCATGAGTGATAACAAAAAACTGAGAACAATGAACTACCTAACTATTTTATCATAATTTTGGACACCTTAGCAATGCGTAGATATTGACCGATATGCTTGCAATAAAGTTGTTGTAGATAAGCCATATCAGTCAATCAGTCAGTCAGCTACAACGTAGGACCAGGCACATATTTGCATCGATCCAAGTTGCCATACCTCATTAACACAACAAGATGAACACCGGATTCATAAAAGTAGTTAATTCAATGATGATGGTAATATATAAAAGAAAGATCGCATATAAGGGCAAGGGCGGCCTGCTTGATCATCTGGGCTACCTGTTCGTGCCATCTAGATATTTCAACAAGTTATCTATTTTTGTTTGTTTTAATATATCACTATGTTTGTTAATCGCATAACCTATTCTGCTGCGTTTCTGAAAAGTGTACAACCTTTCGTTGTCAAAGTTACAAAAAACTCAATAAGAGACAATATGGTTGCTGGCAATATACAACGGAAAGAATGCACATTATTCAGATGTTCATTTACTGAACTGCTAACATCTAACTGGCGATCACTCAATATTTATCGCCAGTACCGACCAAGAAGAAAGAAACGGAAACTTGTTGAAATACTTTACGCTGAGAATTCTATATTGTACCAAAAATATAATATTGAATAAAGATAATAATAATAATAACAAATAATAAAGGACATACTACAGGAAGAAAGAATTAGTACGTAGAAAGATATGTAGCGATTCTAATCTCTTAGTTTAAGAGAAGACAGAGAGTGTATACACCAACGCCATTGTGATCAATTCTGATCCATGTCACCAAGAGTCTCCAATCATTGATTACGATAGTCATGCGGACCCCAACTAAGTAGTCTGCATCTACCAACATGGCTCAGATTAGAAGTTAGTGACTTTAAGCACTGATGCCACGTTTTGGTTTGGCCGCCCCTAATTTTCTTCCAATCATGTGCAACACCGGTTAGCATTGCACGTCGTGGTAATCGATGTTCAGGCAAGATAAGCCATATTAATGAACCACAAAATAAAATGAAACAATTAGCTACCTGGTGATGCTCATTAGTTTACGATGGTTCCCTTTACTATTTCACCTCATGTTAATAATAATTATTATTATATAAGACAGACTACTAAATCAAAATGATTATAAAATTTAATAATCAACCAATTACTTACTCCAAAACGATACAAATAAGCTAAAAATATAGAATATGTACAAATTCCATTTGATGATAATTGTGCTTTATTATTATTATTATTGATAGGAAATAATCGAAAAATAATTGATTCAATTAAATAACCAATTAAAGGTATTGATTGAAATAAATGATGTAACATAATTTGAATACAAGTAATACATATAGCTAATTCTTGATGTAACCAACCAATTTTAGTATGACGATTAATTTGTGTACACTAAAAGAATAATTTTTTTTTTAAAAAAAAGAGAAATATTGAAGCATACTTCTATTAAATTGCATATTTCTTCAATTAAATGTGATCGAACAGATGCACGAGGATATTTATTAAATAAATCACAAAGTTCTGTAATAATTTTTGACATTTGTGATTCCGATAAACGATTTAATGAACTACGTATTGATTTGCATAGAGTTTCATTGAAATCATGATTATCATTTAACATTGAAATATTAACTTCATTTAATTTTTCATTAACAGATAGATCTGTACACTGGATCGGTTCATTTAACAATGAATCAACTATACAACAACAACAACAAAAAATACAATTAGAAAATTATCAGTATAGGGTTGTGGAGATTATTAAGTTTTTCACTGAGATCATGAATCGATTGATGTTAGACCACCATTGAAAACCTGGAAGCACTGGACGACCGCTTCGTTCTATTATGGGACTCCTCAGTAGTGCTCATCTGCGATCCCGTTCGCAGGATCCGAACCAAGAGCCCTAGCCGTGACCAGTGAAGCTAATCTATGTCAGGTGGATTCAGGTATCTACCTCATTACAATGGAAGATGGTCACACAATTTTGTGGATTGGTTGAGGTTAGACATTAACACCGATGGATACCGACTCAAAGGTCTAGAGGTTAATCGTTCGCGAGAGAGACTGAGAGCCGTCGGTTAGAATCCCGCGAGTGGGGTCATAGATTCGCACTACTGGGGAGTCGCATGATAGGACGAAGCGGCCGTCCAGTGCTTCCAGATTGTCAGTGGTGGTCCAACATCAATCGGTGCATGATCTCAATCAAAAACATTAGAAAATTAACATAAGACTTACCGTCTGAATGTTGATCATCATGATCAGTAATTGATCTACTATTATTACTATTATTTGTATTTTGACCATATAAATCAAGTTTTTTACTCTCTACAATAGGTTTTTTAAAATTGATATTATTTAAGTTTAACACTAGTACTTTTCTTTGAAGATACTCCAACAGTAGTACATAGAACAGTGTTATTACTATCAGTATTATCCTTTTCTAAATTTATTTGTTTCTCGAAATTTAGTATGTCTAAAATATAAATTAAATTAAATTTAACATTGAAAAGAGAAGAATAAACAGTACAATCAAATCCACATTGTGTTAACCATAGTGGAGTTTGTTGTTTTTTCTGTTTAGTTTTTGTAGAATTACGATTCATTTTCAACTTCTTCGATAATTTTTTAAGAATTTTCTCTTCTTTTTCATTATCTTCAAGTAAGTGTTGTTTACGTATTTCAGTGTAATTCAACTTTCTACAAATTTAAGTTCGATTTAATATAATTTTATTTATAAAAATAGAAATTGTATAATAACATAATGTTTTATAATAGTCTAAAAACTTACTTGTTTGTGACAGAAGTGTAGGCTTAAACTATGATTTATAGGTGGAAAATAAGTCTGTGTTATTATAATAATAACTCCACTTGTAGCTCTGCTAAGGTTATTGCGGTCTCAAGCTCGAGAAAAAGGAGGAGGGTTGGGCATGGGTTCAGCATCCCCTATCCCGTAGAAATCAACCTTGCCAAAAAAACTAGGACATGCTGGTGGGCGACCAGTGCTTCCCTAAGAGGGGTAACAGGCATAAGTAAAAAGCAAAGTAAGTCTGTCATCGATAAAGAAGCTAACACACAAGTGAGATGGTCCAAGTTGCTGTACTACATTATTATGATGAGGCGAATATAACAAGCTGAGTTAGAAAAAAGATCGAAATAATCTAGTGGCAATCATAGTAAGAAAGACTAAACATTGGGGAATACAGTTCAAAAAGATAGGGTGTAAAGGTGTGTGAACGAGAGGATGATACAGAAAAGGATGCATATGCGCTATTGTGAACAATTTCGAGTCATTTTAGCCAGAACCACGAACTACTGGTCACGACTATCGCACAAACCCTAACCAGATAGTCTGTATCTACTAATATGGCTTGAATCAACACTTGACCAATCTACTAATAATCTATTTCAGTCATTAAGAACCGTATTCTGAAATTTCTACTCATTACACTCATGTACATTAACATTCAATATTTGTTCAATAGTTATTTTATTTAATTATACAGGGAAGTAAGAATTTTACCAAATGGAATCATCGAAAGAGAAGCATTTTTATTTATAAATGAGTCACTTGCCAGAATGTTTGGAATGCGCTTCTCTCCCTCTAAATGCAAGTTGTTGCTTCAGGACTGGTCTGCGTCAACACCTGAACTAAAGATAGGGAGTGAAGTGGTCGAACGCGTTGACAACTTTTCTTATCTTGGAAGTCTGATCAGCCCCAATGGGTTGGTGTCTGACGAAATCTCTGCACGGATTCGAAAAGCTCGCTTGGCTTTTGCCAACTTACGTCACCTATGGTGAAGGCGAGATATCCGTCTATCAATAAAAGGACGAGTATCCTGCGCGGCAGTCCGTTCTGTTCGACTTTACGGCTGCATAACATGGCCATTAAGAGTAGAAGACACTCGTAAGCTACTAGTATTTGACCACAGATGCCTCAGAAATATTGCTGGCGTCTGCTGGGATCACAGGGTAAGGAATAGGGAGGTTAGATGGAGGGTATTAGGTAATGATGGTAAATCAGTTGATGAGGTTGTTAATCTTCATTGACTGAGATGGTTGGGCCACGTGTCACATATGCCCAAACACCGATTAGCACGACGTGCAATGCTAACCGGTGTTCGAGATGGTTGGAAGTTGGAAGTTAGGGGTGGCCAAACCAAAATGTGGCATCAGTGCTTAAAGTCACTAACTTCTAGTCTGAGCCACGTTGGTAGATGCAGACTACTTGGTTGGGGTCCGCGTGACTATCATAACCAATGGTTGGAGACTTGGTGACATGGCTCAGAATTGATCACAATGGCGTCGGTGTATACACTGTCTGTCTTCCCTTAAACTAAGAGATTAAAATCGCTTCGTATCTTTCTACGTACTAATTCTTTCTTCTTGTAATATATCCTTATTGCAATCTTTCTTCTATATATTCCCATCATTGAATTAACTACTTCTATGAATCCGGTGTTCATCTTGCTGTGCTAATGCGGTATGGCAAATTGTACCGATGCATATATGTGCCTGGTCATACGTTGTAGCTGACTGACTGACACTTGTAATCTTTAGATATTTAGAATTATTCTTGACTTACTTCTTCTTTGACTTTGTCATATTCCTGAAAAAAAAATAGGGATTTTAGGGATAAAACTGCACTTTCAAATTTTCTAAAACATTTACTAGGTACAGATATTTGTGTACTTAGCCTTAGGCCATAGTTCAAGTATGAGGGCTATCGACACTACAGTGCTGTTAGAGGTGTGAGGGCGGTTGTCACTTTCCGGATGCCCAAACAGTGGAAGGGCTCTTCTAGTGGTACCTAAGAAGGAAATTGAGTTAGAGGTGGTCTTGGTGACCTGAGAGCGTGATCGCAGTGCCCAAGGGACAACTGCTTGAGGTGACATACGACCTGTTCGTGGATAGTTTTCGTGTCAGCTCTGTACTTGCTGGTTCCTTACCGCCGGAGATCGATGGTATTCAAGCTGCATTATATAACAGACCTGCCACTGAGGCAAATTGTTAGTTAAACAACTTGATCCGTTTTATCACGTGATCAAGAGTGCTTAATGGGTCTAGATAACATTGCCTCTCTTATTTTTTTAATACTTAGCTCCGAATTTCTAAATTTTGTAAACAGGAAGGTGGTCAGGCATTGCATTATATCTGGTGTCAGCTGATAATGAAAACCCATGGGTGATAACCTAAACTCGTAACACAAGCCCGTCTCCTAATATGTATGAATATACGTAAGCATCACCTTTTTCCTCGAATACAAAGGATAATTTTCCATGTGAGAGTTAGTTATACGTATCAAAACTGTTATCCGAATATTATTTAATTACTTTGCATTTTTATTCGATTTATAACGAAGTAGTGTTTTTCGTTTAGCTAATAGGTCCCTTAAGGACACCAGTATATTATACTTCTACTCAATAAGGGAAGCAGGAATTTACAGTTGGTCGCGAAATGAGTAGTTTGTGTAAAGTAGGCGTAACAAATTTTCCGAGAAATGAAGCGGCTCACAATTAAACGCTAGTGTGTGTGTGAGTAAAATGACAATGTAAGTGTGTCAAGAAACATACGATACTGAGTTATAAGATAGGTTTAGGACAATAGGACCTAAACATCAGGGTTAATATATTAAGTTAAGACTACCAGGATCAATTCATCTAAGTATAAGAACAAATTGATAATCTAGGGAAGATCGATCAATAAATAATGGATGGGTTAATAGCTCATTCTTGGTAAAATATCCACAAACTCACCACGTACCACGACAAATCAGACCTTGAAAGCAAAAGCACCGCTGTTGGTTAAATGGTTCAAATGGTTGTGGACGGAATAGAAGAAGCTTTCGCTTAACAGGCTTCTGTGTCTAGTAGCAGGGGATCACCAAATCCTCCAGGCAGGAACCTAGGTATGTTAACAATAAAAGAGGAAAAGAAATTGGTAAATCATAGTGTGATGCTGTCCTTGGTCGTTAAGAATAGGTCGAGTTGCCTCTTGAAGGACTCCTGAGAAGTCGCTTGGACTAGCTCGGCCGGCAGCGAATTCCAGATTTTGACAACTCTTAAGGAGTAGAAGTTGTGTCTACATTCCGTCTTGCTATGTTGTGTCTCCAGTTTCTGGGTGTTACCCCTTAGGTTATTATTCGAACTAAGCTTAAGTAGGTGTTTAAGAGGATGTCCAGAAGTGTTAAGAATACTATAAGCCATTAATAAATCACCTCTGAGACGCTTATACTCTAATGGGTAAAGGTCTAGTGAATGGAGGCGTTGTTCGTAAGGTTTAGATTTGAGTCCTCGAACTGATTTCGTGGCTTGCCGTTAGATACTCTCCAAAGTGACCTTGTCCTTTTGGAGTGAGGGAGGGAGTACTATGTTTCCGTACTCTAAATGGGGACGGATGAAACTATTGAAGATTGTATGGAAAGTTCGTCCGTCAAACTGTCCAAAAATGCGCTTCAACATTACCAGTGCAAGGTTTGCTCGGAAGGCATTTTTGTCACAGTTAGCGTAAGACTTTAAATCATGGGGCACCAGGATTCCTAAATCTTTTTCGACTTGAGATACTACTAGAGAGGAGTTTCCTAAGTTGTAACTGTAGTTTGCAACATGTCGCAGATGGACCACTTTACACTTTGAAGTGTTAAAGGTAAGTCCGTTATCGTCTGCCCAACTTTGAAGTCGAGTCAGATCCTCCTGAAATGCCTGTATGTCGTCTTGGTTGCGTATCTCTCTCCAAAGTTTCACGTCGTCGGCAAAAACTAATAAGTCTGATGTTACCTGTTGAGGAAGATCATTTATGTAGAGAAGAGGCCTTAGTACAGAGAATGATGCCTAAGTTACTCTGGGTGAAACACGAAGGCACTTAAATATTCCTCGGATCTGTTACACCAATGCACGAAGCTTACTCAATAAGCGATCAAAACTAGGTGTACAGATTGACTCTACAAAGCCAGACATAATCTTAGTCACAGAAACCTGGCTGACACAGGCTATAGATAGTATATAACTTGATTTCAAGGGTTTTACGTTAGTAAGGGCCGATAGAATACAAAAGCGTAAAGGATGTGAAGTAGCTCCATTCATTAGGAATGCTATTCCATTTGCCATCATCGATGGTGTATCGCATGAGAGTGGGACATGTTAATTAGTTAGTTGCCGCTTGAAATGCAAGGGACAAGAGCTGCTGATTGGTTTAGTCTGTGGAGATAGACCTGACAACCTTATTTTGTAACTAGTTTACAATGTTATTTCTATTTGTTTTGCCGATTTTTCACTGTATGTACATTTATCATTAAATGACTGTACGTGTTGTTTTAGTCAATGACCTTGAACACTTTTTCCGTTGTAATTCGAACATAGCGTGACCTATACTTACTGGCTAACAAATACATTACTACTCACACATCCCTCGTTCTATTTACATTTGTGATTGAATTAGCTGAATTCTAAATCAAATATTATCATTATTTATAGACTGTAATTGGAATACATTACATTCTACGTGGGATTATATCACCAGAGAGTTCGCCAACCTGCTTGGAACTATCAAACATTTATAATTGTGGATTTACATTACCGGACCTAATCAGAACACGCAGCGTTTGGTCAATTTAAGTAACGTCCCTAATTTTTATTTTATTTGTAACAATTAACTGTATATATTAATATTACTATTGACCTTTAGTAACTTTGTTTATACTTTTTGCGTTCATATTTGTCTGGTCCACCACAATTATTTGGTGAGCCTCGATTATTTTTTTATAGACATTTACTATATATATCTACATAATTTTTTTATTATTATTAATCGGCACGACACCATATTTTTGTTCTTGTCATTATGAACTCTCCGGGTAAACTTATTGATATTGATAGTTCACCGACCAACCTTCTAAACTCTCCACAACCAGAGGATAATGTTTTAAACTCAATCAACGCTATCTCGGAACTAAGATTACCAACGTACGGTGTTAATAATCCCAGGATCTGGTTTGCACATGTTGAGGCATTATTTTTGTCGAGAGGTATACGCTCGCAAGCGACAAAATATGCATACATCGTTGGAGCATTACCCATAGAGGTGGCAGCAGAAGTCAGAGACCTGATAGATAACGTACCAGAAACGGACCCCTATGACAAAATAAAAGCCGCAGTAATCCACCGTACTTCACAGTCTGATGAAAAACGCTTACAGCAACTACTCACCGCATGCGAGTTAGGGGACAAAAGACCTTCACAGTTGCTTAGACATATGAGACAACTAGCAGGTTCATGCAAGTTAGACGAAGCATTACTTAAGCAGATGTGGTCACAAAGATTACCATATAGCGTCAGACAAATTCTCAGCGTATCAGGAGCCTCTGTCAGTCTTGATGATTTAGCAAACATGGCCGATAAGATGATAGAAATATATCCCGATAGTTGGGGAATTAACGCTGTACAACCCGCTAGTAGAGATGCTACGAACCCTACTCTTGACATTCAGCAACAAATGTCACACTTAACACGGCAGCTAGCATCACTACAGGCGACTATTGCCACCATCCATTCTCGACGCCCCAAATCTATGTCCAGAAGGAGATCATTATCCAGACATCGTCATAGGTCACCTAAGCGGGCAGCTGGAATGTGTTGGTATCATTCGAATTATGGCGAGAAAGCACGTCGTTGCACAAAACCGTGCAACTTCACGGCAAGCAAGCCAGACCATCAGGGAAACGAAGTGGCCAGACAGTAATAACGGCAGCTGTTACTGGCCAACATGTCAGCCGCCTTTTCCACATCAGGGATCGTATTTCTGGCTCAGACTTTTTAGTCGATACGGGAGCAGAAATCAGCATCATCCCACTCCGTCTCTCACGCAGACAACATACGATAAGCACTAAATTGTCCTTGGTAGCGGCTAACGAATCAGTTATCAAAACTTATGGAGAACAATCTCTTATATTAGATCTCGGGCTCCGTAGAAGATTCACATGGGTATTCATAGTTGCTGAAGTCAAACGACCCATTCTCGGGGCCGATTTTCTTAGTGCGTACAACCTGTTAGTTGATATGACCAACAAAAGATTAGTCGACATAAACACACGTTTACAGGTAAATGGTACACTCTCCAACGACAACGAGATCCATGGTGTTCGAATAATGAAACCTGTGAACAACATCTTCAACGACATTCTAACAGAATACCAGTGCATTACGAAATCCGATTACCAAAAGGAAGGTAACCCACAGCTGATACAACACCATATCACTACCAGCGGACCACCTATTAGCGCCAGGGCGAGGAGATTACCACCAAGCAAGTTGCAAGTAGCGAAAAGAGAATTCGAACACATGATGCAACTTGGTATTATCAGACCATCCAACAGCCCCTGGGCCTCGCCGTTACACATGGTACCTAAGAAGGACCAAGATTGGCGTCCGTGTGGTGACTATCGACGATTAAACAATCAAACCATCCCGGATAGGTATCCTATTCCACATATACATGACTTCGCGTTAAATTTACATGGTAAATGCATCTTCTCGAAACTCGACCTCGTGCGTGCATACCATCAAATTCCAATGGCACCGGAAGACATTGAGAAAACAGCCATGATAACACCTTTTGGCTTGTTTGAGTTTCTAAGGATGCCATTTGGATTGAAAAACGCTGCGCAGACATTCCAACGATTCATGGATAATGTCACAAGAGGTTTAGACTTCGTATTTGCCTACATCGACGATGTTCTCATTGCAAGCTCATCTTTAGAAGAGCATATCCAACATGTCCAGACCCTTTTTGATCGTTTTAAAAAACATGGCGTCGTCATCAATCCTTCGAAATGCATATTCGCAGTCCCAGCCTTAGAGTTTTTAGGACATTACATTGACTCTCAAGGCATCAAACCACTCCCAGAAAAGGTTGAAGTTATTACCAATTACCCCGAACCAACCTCGGTGAAGTCATTACGACGCTTCCTCGGTATGTGTAATTTTTATCGCCGTTTCTTACCACATTGTGCTGAAGTACTACAGCCATTAACCGATCTGCTGAAAGCCGACAAAAAAGGTACGAAGAGAGAGAAGAGTCAGACATTCAACCTACTCCCTGACGCCAAAACAGCTTTCGAGAGAGCAAAATTGATGATATCTAATGCTACCATTCTACAGCACCTAAACACCGATCCCACAGCAAACCTCATCCTCTGCACTGACGCCTCCCAAAAAGCAGTAGGAGCAGTATTACAGCAATGCGTTAACGACAAGATTACTCCTATAGCTTTCTTTTCCAAACGATTATCACCAACTCAAGAGCGCTATAGCACCTTCGGACGCGAACTTCTGGCTATGTACTTAGCTGTAAAACACTTCAACTTCCTGCTTCAGGGACGTGATTTCACCATTATGACTGATCATAAACCACTTTGCTATTCTTTCAACACATCCTACGATAGACATTCTCCACGGGAAGCCAGACAACTGGATTACATTTCCCAATTCACTACGGACATCCAGTTCATCAAAGGCTCCTCCAACATTGTCGCTGACGCTCTATCTAGAAAGGATATCAACATGATGGTACACAACCACAACATCAGCCTTGAAGCTTTATCTAAACTACAAGTGGACGATGCAGATTTGAAGACCTGCAAAGAGAAGTCTTACCTGAACCTTAAACCTGTACCCATTCCTTTCTCAGACGCATCTGTTATTTGCGACACTTCAACGGGTAACAATCACCCCTTTGTGCCACAACCCTATCGACGAAAAGTATTTCAACAGCTACATGGACTGTCGCATCCAGGCATCAGGGCT